TCCCATTCTTTTCTATATTTTTGAACTCTTTTTTTGTTTTTTGGACTCGTTAGGGATAGTTTTTAGGGTTCCGTACCCGGTAGGAACCCTATTGGAACGGTTACAAAAATGACCATGTACCCCCCCCCCTAGAACTCACAGTTTTACACCTAGAGAGCTAAAAATTGGTACACGTATGTATTTTCACGCGTAGATTACAGGAAAAATATAGCGAACGTTATTGGGATTGATCTTCATAGAGTTTTCGTCGAAAAACATCAAATTTTGTCCATTTTTCGCAAAAAAAGGCATGTACCCCCCCTAACGCTCACAGTTTTTTACCTAGAAAGTTGAAAATTGGTATGCATATGTATTTTCAAAAATGGATTAAAGGAAAAATATAGCGAACACATTTAGTATTGATCTTCATTCTGTTTTTATCGAAAAAGTCAAAAATTTTGAAAATTTCGAAAAAAATGCATGTACCCCCCCCCTGGCGCCCACAGTTTTTTATCTGAAGAGCTGAAAATTGGCATACTTATTCGTTTTTACACATAGATTACAGGAAAAATATAGCGGAAGTGATTAGAATTGATCTTCATGATGTTTTCATCGAAAAACTAAAATCTCTTTTTGAAAGCTCGAAAATTCTTTAACCGTTGCTGGTTCTCTCAATTCTTAATCTAGTGGACTGTCGCTATACATTTTTATTTATTTTTTCGTGTAGATTTCAAAAAACATACAGAAAAAATTATTGGAATTCATCTTCATATTTTTTTTGCGAAAAACTAAAAAAAATTTCGTTTTAAAAAAAAAAGTGTGTACCCCCCCCTTGGTTTTCACAATTCTTTGCCTATTGGACTGCAGTTTTGCTTATTTTATGTATTTTCGTCAGTAGATTTCAGGAAAAATATAGCGAACCTGATTGGATTTGATCTTCATATTTTTTTCATCGAAAAACTTAAAGTTTTTAAAAATTTCGTCAAAAAAGCGTTTATTTCACCCTAGCACTCACAGTTTTTTACCTAAAGAGCTGAAAATTGGTACACTTTTGTATTTTCACGTGTAGATTACAGGTAAAATATAGTGGAAATGATTAGAATTGATCTTCATTGCGTTTTGAGCGAAAACCTAAATTTTTTTTTTCAATTTTTGATAATAATTATACCTATGCTAGTTCTCTCAATTCTTAGTCTAGTGGACTGGCGTTATACATTTTTATTTATTTTTTCGTGTAGATTTCAACAAACATACAGAGAAAATTATTGGAGTTCATCTTCATATTTTTTTTTTCGAAAAACTAAAATTTTTTTTCGTTTTAGAAAAAAAAGTGTGTACTCCCCCTTTGGTTTTCACAATTCTTGGCCTATTGGACTATATTTTTGCTTATTTTATGAATTTTCATATGTAGATTTCAGGAAAAATACACCGAACATGATTGAATTTTATCTTCATATTTTTTTCAGTGAAAAAGTCAAAGTTTTTAAAAATTTCGTCAAAAATGCGTGTTATTTACTATAGCGCCCACAGTTTTTTACCTGAAGAGATGAAAATTGGTACACTTATGTATTTTTACGCGTAGATTACGCGTTTTATATTTAGTAATCATTATTAATTCACTATTTTTAAAAAATAATCTTTTAAAAAAATATTTAAAAATTAAATTTGTTTTTTTATTAATACAATCATTAAATATTATTTTGTTTATATTTTCAAAACAGAGTAACTTCAAATTGAATTGGAATTGATATATATTTATTTTTATAAGAAAGAAAATTAGAAGTTTTTATGGAGGGTACGGAACCCTAGGTTTTAGTACGAGTTTTACTCGCACTTGTCCGGTTTTTTGTATTCGGGTGTTGCAGATCTTTGCATTTTATTTGAGTTTTCTTCTTGATTATTATTATTATTTTCTTCCATTATTTTTTTTAGTATTGCACTAAACACCAGACACGAAGTGATAAAGGTCGACAGCGATAAAAGTTGTTCACGTAACTGTATAAGTGGAAGAGCCCTTTTGCAAGGAAGGAAAGATTTTAAAAAACTGCCGCCGTAAGGCATTGCAGTCGAGTGGTGCGATTTGGGACTTGTGTCGCAGTCTTAGAAGTTCCGAATAAAAATATAATATAATACCGCTGATCGCAAAATTATGGTAGAAAATACTACGGCGACCTCAACCTCCACTCGTTTTATAAAAATGACCGTAAACAAATGGCTATCTTTGTCTCGTTGTTGGTTAATATACTATTATTATATAGTCATAATAATTTGTGTTTAGAATATATGTATTAGCTAAAGAGTTTCAGTTTTATGTCGATGAAAAAATCTGATCAAAATTTGTAAAATTTAATTAGTACTACGACTTAAAAAAACCCCCTTCTTAATTATGCCCAATCTCCCCTAACCTGCACAGGACAAGCATAAAACCAAATATTACAGCCTTCTTTACTATCTGTACCTTTAGATTATCCACTCCTGACGCTTTACCATTTTTAATGTTTTAAGTTCCTTATAAAGGTCTTCCATAGACCACTTATCAAACTTTTCTGCTATCACCCATTTAATCTGAATTTGATTTTCTTGCGTCACACTCTCCTCATTTTTATCCTATCCAAAGAATCCATCCAAAAATGCATCTGCAGTACTGATCCAATCTTCCGAGTGCTGACCCCTACAATTTATGCTGTGCAGGACCATTTTGTGCCTATCTTCTCACTTGCCATTTTGTATACTACGACAAAAGAATTGTCGCTGCTGTCACCTTCCACAAATCTTTCCCAACTGTCTTTTCTAACTCCTATCCACCATTTTTGTATAATCTCTTCTTACAGAGCTATATATATATACTGACGTTTAAGTGTTTCTCTTATTTTATCATTCGTTTGCCTCTGATATGTTCATCTTAGTCTATTAACACTTCTTTTCGTATTTGTAAAGCTCTTATTCTACCAGGGCACTAATTTCTGTAAAATTCTCTTTCTTTGAATGGTATCATCCGTTACAGATTGTAGCGCGTCAGTTACATCCTTTGCAAATATTTCCCAATGGTTTTCAGAATTTATTTGTCTTTCTGTATCCAAAAGTATCTTTTCCACTATTAGTTTATCAAATATGCAATTTCCATATTATATTTAGGCTTCTTAATCTATTCTACTATATCGAGTGCTCTAAATGTATTAAAAAATGCTCGATGGTCATGATCTATTACGATTACTGGTGATAATCGCTTCGATTTTGTTGCAGCTCTAATAAAAACTTATACGGCGGACACCTTTCATCAGACACATGATCAAATTCTCTAAGCATTTTTTTACTCCAAGCGCACTTACGACTCACCATTAGCTTTTTGCATCGCTTTGTAGCATGTCCACAAGTCTCCTTTTCAGCTCTACATGATTTTGATATGTGGCCGAGACTCTGATACTTAAAACATCTGCTTATTCTAGTAAAATCCAACATTCTACATCTATAAGAACCAATGTACACTCTCTGCTCTTCGAAAATAGTTCCTAATACTAAAAGCAACTGCCAGCACTTAGTTTGTTGTGTTCATATCTTTTTTGTCTGTTTTAGAAAAAATTGCAGTTTCTATCAAATTCTGCCCTGGTCGTGATTCAGACCAGAAACGTCAACCCCCAGTCCCACATTTGCTAGAGCATCTATCTTCATAATCATGTCCAGATCTTCCCGTGTCTTAACCTCTACTAAAACAGCCTTGTAGCGCAATTTTCTAATATTATCAACGTGAAATCTATTGTAAACCGGGTTACAAACCTTCCTTTCTGCTCCTTCTAGCTGCTTATCGAGGCTCGTACTATGGAAAGATAGGATGTAAGGTAGAACAAAAATAAGCCGACTTGTGTGATTTCAAGTTTAGATTTTGTAGATATGCTGGGTGTGCCCAGCATATTATTTTCACGCTTATTTGTACGCGTTGAGCGATGTCACACTCGCACTAATAAAGTTCACGCAACACACAGCACTTCTTATAATTAATTATCAAAATTCAAGCACTTCACTGGTAAGTGTCCAGGAACAGGCGCCACCTATTGTGAAAATACCGTAAGGTCGCTCATTTTCCAGGATCGATCAAACATTATAATGTGAAGAAATTCCTACATGTCAGTTTAAACAAATGAAAATTTAAAAAATGCCCAAAATTTTTACAAATTGGGATCAAATTTACGAGTAAATAGGTGACTTAGAATATTAATTTGCAGTATTAATTTTATAGGTTGAGTACAGCTTGATAATGCGCTTTGAGCGGTTGCGCACCAGGACAAAAAAGTATTTAGAATAGAAACAAAGTATTGGTTGTAACTTACTGTTAATACGGTTTTGCGTTATAACCGTATTAGGAGGTTACGGTGAATACATTTAGCTTACCATGAATATATTTTTCTAAAGCTTTCGAATAAAAGATTTCTAAGCAAAGTTTATAATATTTATGAAGACTAAGGGACTTGAAGTATAAAAATGATGATTGCGAGAAGAAACTACAAAATTTTAAGAAAATATTAGAAAATAAAATGTGACAGGCAGACTATAAAATGTTGATGGATACCATATGCTTTACTGTGCCTACAACGTATATAGATTAAAAGGAATATGAAATTACCGGTAACCTCCCAATACAGCTTTGACACGAAATTGTATTCACCGTGAATTTATCACCAATACAGTAATGTTATAAAGAAAGTTTATAAAATTATTATTATACGAAATTTTGCGATCTTGTGTTCTTGTAGCTCTTTTGAAGAAATGATTCTGAATATGAAAAGTCACTGATAGTGATAGTTATCACTATCAATAGTTATTAATAGTTTCAAATATGTTTTGAAACTATTGAAAAATTATTATTTATTTAATTAGAATTATTCTTATTTTTTTAAAAAGGAATATTTTAACAATTCGAAAAGTGGTCGTGCGCAACGTTACACCTATAGTTCTTACATCATGATGTAGGTTAATAATGTAGATTATTATAGACTAACTATCAAAAAATAAAATGATAAATTTACCTTTTTCTGAATAAGGTATGTTTTCACAATAACCATCTCCACGAAAGAGCCAATGATGAAATGGACATTCTAAACATTCGCCTTTTACCAATCCTTGCCCCAAATTTGCACCCAAATGTGGGCAATAGGCATCTAAAATTTTTACAATTCCTGATACAGTTCTGTAAAATAATTTTTCTGTATATATATTTTTTAATTTAAGAAAACTTATCACATGAAATTAAATTAAAATTTATAATCTTACTAATTTATAACAATAATTATTTATTGCAACTGAAGGCCTTCATGCAATAAAAAGAAGAGCGTACAGTCGATAAGGGATAATGCCAGTCAGGTAGAGCGAGTGCCTCATATCAGTGACTGTCATTCCTACCAGATTGGTATTATCTGTTGCCGACCGTGCGCTCGTCCCCATTGCATGGAGACCTTTAATTGTAAAGTTTAAAAATTACCTAAAAATTGCAAAATTTTCTCCGAGAGCAATTACATGTTTTACTTGTCCCTTTTTAAGTTCAGAACTTTCTGAAACAGCATACCAACCATTTGGAAAAACGGGCGGTAAATTTCCTCTCTTTTTGTTTCTTAGGATAAAATCTTTGTCACCAGTTTGGAATTTTCGTCCCTAGAGAATAAATACTGATTTCAAAAAATCTTGAAAATTTTCAGCCAACAAAACTTTTCATTTAAATGAATTTGCGCTAAAACAAATTTCAGTTTAGACTGAATCCATTTCAAATCAGGCAAGTCGACAAACTTCAAGTTATTGATTTACCTGTCGCTAAAATATGTTATTCTATGTACATAAAAAATAAATTAAATTTAACAGAGTTACACATATTTGAACTTTGAGTGGTAAAACTCGAATAAACAATGAAAAAAAATTCTTTTGCTTTTATTTTTTTTTCTTGAGTATAAATTAATTTTCTTTCTTGGGTTTTGTAGATGATTGTGCCATCTTCAAAATCTCGTTTGAAATTTGTAAGAAGCTTTAAAATTAACAAAATAGGGGATGGTTTTCTGAAAATAAATAATAGCAATACAAGCATAACAATTTTTTTATTGTTTATTCGAGTTTTACCACTCAAAGTTCAAATGTACACAATTTAGTTAAACTTAGATTTTTTTAACATAAAAAATACGTGTCTCTTTATTTTTCATGTATAATAACATACTTTAGCGACAAGTAAATCTGCAACTTCAAGTTAGACGACTTTCATGATTTGAAATGGATTTAGTCTATATTATATATTTATATACAGATAAACAAAAATTAAAAATAGTGAAATAAAACTTTCTTTTTACTTCGATACAAACATTTCCTTCAGAAATGTTAAAAAGTACTGGAGTTAAAAGTTGTACCAAGTTGCCAGTGTTGTTTTCGCAATACTAGCACAGTACTGGCGTGCCAGCCGTAAAGTGCAGTACTAGCGTAGTACAGAAATGTTATTCAAGCCAGTACTGAACCAGTACGGGCAAGCCAAATGCTATCACGCTAGTACTGATGTAATACTGCGCCTGTTATGAATACTAGCATTTGACAGAAATTTTTGCTTGGGTATGAATGTTTATTTGTTCGAATATTCATTTGATCTAATTCTCAAATGTTTGAATGTTTTAAGTATGTATTAGAAATTCGAACAAATAAGAATTCAAACTTTTGAGAATTCGACAAATGATTAAGTATAAGAACTTTTGAATTTTGTGCGAAAATTAGGCGTTTTTTTAGTATATTGCAATACAGTTTGAAAAATATTAATAAAATACACTATTCGACAACATACAAAAATTCTAGAAAAGAATTTTGATGATATCAAGTTTTTTTTAAAAATGAAAACACATTTTATATTATGTTGCTGTTTAGTGTTTATGTTTACTGCGTCTAGAAAAATATCTGTTTTTTGTATATATTTACGCAATGTTTCAATTATTTTTCCAGATAACAAAATTTGCGTAATATGCTTCTACGTGACTCCATGCTCGTAATATTACAATTTTTTTAAAAATTAGATAGGTAACTAGAGCAAATCTTTAATTATCGTGATACTTTTTTTTATGATATGAATATCCTACAAGGATTAACTAATTCATTAACTGAAAAATACACATACAGCATTGACATTATTTCTAGATATAGTTGTGTACATTTTCGCTCTTGGTAAACAGCACGGAGAGAATTTTTATATTCCGTACATCGATACCTCTCTTCAAAAAAACCCTCTTTCTCATTGATCGTCTAAAAAACCTCTGTTCAAGTTGTCCCTCTCTAAAACAACCAAACTCTATTTTTTTGTAACTTCAGCATATGTTCTCTTATGCATTTTTTATTTAAAACGTAAGACATTTGCCATGAAATAATAAACATTTATACTTTATTGTCAATACCTAGTGTCTAATGATAAATTGTGTTTGACTTTATTCTAAACTAGCTGTCGAACCCGTCTTCGACGGGTTTTATCATGTACCTGTATTTCAACTTATGTCTTTACATTGCTTACAAAAAGTTTTAACTTTTTTTTAATTTCTGAAATTAAAAATGCTTAAACACAAATATTTCAATGATATTGTTTTCAAGATGTTCTACGTGAATATAATTAATCAAATATATATACTTGAAGTTAGTGACCATCTATTAATTATGTATTATTGAGTAAAAGGCTTATCGGTCGTGTTTTTTTAAAAGTAAAAAACCACTCTTTTTATTTAAAAAAATTTTTCTTATTAACAAAAGTGTTGACGTTTCGAGTTACGACCCATCTTCAGGACTAAAAAAACAGAAAAGAATTTATTAGACAATTTAAAAAAAATTTATATAATAAAGTTAAGAAAATTAATAATTTATATGAAAAGAACATACAACTATGAGTAAAGACCTGTTATTTAAAAATTTGTCCGAATTTCCTCAGAAGGAGAAAATTTAAACTTACAATAATTAACGACGAGAAACTAAGAATGACAAATGATTAGAAAATTTTTTAAAATAAAAGTGATTTGTTACTTTTTCTAAAAAAAACATGACCGATAAGCCTTTTACTCAATAATACATAAATAATCAAACATTTAAAAAAATAATTTAAAAATCTCGTTTTCAATTTTCTAGTCTAGAAGCTGAAAAAAGACCTACATTGAGAAAAAAAATGGCCCAAAAGCGCCAATGCTATTGACACACTCGAACACAATTAATTGAGGGCCCGAGTTCATTTACAGTAAAATAGTCAACTTAATATCTTTGCAATTTAAAATAGGATAAAAATTTTATTGAATATTAAGCCATGGGTATTTATTCGAGTTTCTTATGTTTTTGTATATATCTACTTTTGTAATTGCATGAGATAGGATTAATTTAATTTCAGGGTTTCTTTCAATCTCGGTTTTGTTGTACTTTATTTTTTTGCTCCAACCATGTCTGGATATGTGGTTTAAATTCGGAACATTGTGAAAATCTTGGACAAACCCTTCCCTATCACGAAAAGTAATTGCGTCGACAGGCAAGTAGCCCAGCGAACAACTTTTCTTAGTACATCTATTGTTGCTCTAAACGATTTTTTAATAAAACTATTGTTTTGGTTTTTGGTTGTTTTAATAATATGATTTCTTATAAATTTAAGTATGAAGTTGTCAATTCTTGTAATTTTTGCTTTGTCACAAATTATTTGATTAGAGATCATTTCATTATAATTGGTCGCCTGATCACGATGCATGCCGAGGCATGCTCTCATACATACTCTTTCAAATGCACGCAGCTCTTCATTATATGGGGAGAGATTCCATACCATATCATACATGCGTAGGTGAGTATCAGTCTGATCAAAATTAAGTGCATAATAATTTAACACAATAATTAAACAGTCTAGAGTAGAATAAATTTTTTTTCTATAAAATGTTTTTTATCATTATCAACCTGAATTTTAATGTGCTTACAATAGTTAAACTGATCTCTCAACCGAACCCCGAAATACTTTACAACGAATTTATGTATTAGAAAGTTGGAATTCCCTGCCTCATCGTATATTAAGAAAGTTCTCCACATTCTTGCATTCATATTTATTTTTTTTGCATTCCCTACAGGGCAGAATATGATAGTTTTGCATTTATCGATATTTGCAGTAAGATGCTATGTGTCGAAATAATCTAAGATTTTTTAAAAAGTATTTTGCAATTTGTTCTTCGCTTTTATAATCTCGTCATCTTCAACATACATTATAATGTCATCCGCAAAGGCTATTCCATTGATTTCGTCATTTTTATTAATATTGTACATCCCTATCAAATCCGCGAGTTATATATTGAACAGAATTGGCAAGTTTATTGCTCCTTTTTGGAGCCCTTGATTAAGATTATAGATTTGGCTCGCCTCTAAATTTCCATTCAATCATACCGTATCGAAGGCCTTCTCCAGGTCCAGCAGATAGGCCGCCACAGTATTTATGCTTTGTTAACATCTGAGGATAATTTAGTTATTGCATGAACTGTAGAAATTTTTTGCTTAAATCCGAATTGTTCATTCAGTATGAATTTATTTTTTGTAACATAATAATTTATTATATATTCGTTACTTTTTAATTTTACAAGTTCAATTAAATTTCTATTTTGATAGGGTATTTTTAAGTTAGGAATTTCAGTAATTTTGTTTAATTTAGAATAATCACGACGCAAATAGGGTTGAAAACTTAATGTGTATTATCGTAATTTATTATTTTGTAAGAATTGATTAAAATAATTTCTTTACTTTCTTAATACACTCTATCGTCGATATAGAACAAATTATCTATATATTTTATATGATTATCTACAGAGGCGCGAAATTTGCTGTTTTGATTCCAATGTTTTGGCTAACTGTCAGATTGAGCCCCTGTTAAATGTGAAATTTGTTTTATTGTGCAATTGTTTGTTGAAGAGAATGGAGTGCTCAGGAATTCCTTCCTTGGACGAACATGTTGAACTCATATGTTTCCAAGGGAACATACGAGTGCGGAAGGCATTCCTGAGCACGAGTGTACAGTAGTGTTCAATGAAGCCTTCCTCGGATGATCGTGTTGCACTCATGGGAGTATATGAGTGCAACACGATCATCCGAGGAAGGCTTCATTGAACACTACTGTACATTCGTGCGAAGTGAGTGGTTGTGAAGATAAGAAAAGTGGACAAAATAAAGTTTCCATATTTTTTCTGTGACAAATTCAGTATCAGTAGAAGGCAGCCAAAAAATGTCTATTCCTTATAAAGTGGTAAGTAATATGAAACAATTCTCTTTGACTTTATTTTCATTTGAATTAACTAAATATTTACATAGTAAACTAAGATAACACGAGCGCACAATCGCCTGTGAAATTTTAACGGCCGTTAACCCCCTGTTATTATTTACGGGGGTTAATTGACCAAAAAACACAGTTTTTTTCAATTTTTTGAGAAAATTGTAGGGGAGAGGTACGCACGTTGAGACGGGTTCTGTTTTTCAGTTATAATTTTTAAAAAACAAAATTTAGCGAAAAATTCGAAATGCTTTCTTAAAAGTATTGTCCAGGGCTACAACATTGCCAAAGAAAGTTATTTTTTTGGACAAAATTGAAAAATTTATAGCTGATTTTTTAAACATGTTATTTTTGACCAAAAAAAAGTGGTACGCACGTTGAGACACTCATAGTAATTTATTTTAAATTAAAAGAAAATGAATAATTACGTCAGATTCTAATTGTTTGTTGTTTATTTACTTATTTTGATGGTCTTAGCTCAAAGAAAAAAATTAAAATAACCTTGCCGTTATTTTTTTAAAGCTTTGAAATTATTTGTAGATGTTAACGTATGTCTAAATTTTCGTCGGAACTTTAAAGTAGGACTAAAATTGATATGTAAATGTTATCCGCAATTTTTTCTGCCACTAAAAAATACAGTAAATACACTAAACAGAAATTCTGAAAAACACTTTTTTTAACTAAAAAATTGGTTCGCTCTAGTTCTACCGAAAAAAACAGGAGTTATTGCGCTTTTTTTGAATAAAAAGTTTGGTATTAATGATACGACAAAATGCCAATAAAATTTTTGGTATTATCAGTTACACAGGTTATAATATCTTAGTGTCTCAACGTGCGTACCTCTCCCCTACAGAATATTCTAAAATAAGATTTCACTTGTTTTCCTATAGTTCTAAAAAATAAATGAATAGAGAATAATATTTTTAAATTCATATTATTAGGTTGACTTGTAATAGATAAACAATTTAACACCGATTAACGTTTTGATTACTACATATATCATATTTTTCTAATAATTACTTTTAAAAGTTGTGTTCCTTCATTAAGAATATACTTTCAACAGTATCTTGAAAATTATTACTTCCTTTCTTGTCTGTATTATCGATGAATTTTGAAAATTTAAAACAATTTATGCTTTATATTTTTAAAAGAATGAAAAAAAATTTTTAACATAAAATTCATGAAAACTAAAATTTCTTTTGGTTTATATTTTGAAAGAAGATAAAATTTTGGAAAGAATAAGACCTTACAGAAGTCATTTGGCCAAAATTTGTAAAAGATATTCTTAAAAATCGTAATTTTCAATGTTTTACAAAAATTTCAATAACTACTAAAATAATGAACGCTTTTTAATAATCTTAGGCTTATTTTAAAGGTCATTTTCTACGGAATAAGAATTACTTATAGGCATTAACCTGTAATTTTTCACTTGGAATAAGCATGATGTCAAAGTTGGACAAAAAAATTCAAAAAATTTGAAATAATGTTATTAAAAGAAAAATAATTTTTGAAATTCAAACATATTTTTTTATTAAATTTTCTTGAAAAATCTACACCATATCTTGTTTTATATATGTTCTAGAATAGTTTTTAGTAAAAAAAATTTATTTCAAATTTTTCCAATTTTTTTGTTCAACTTTGACGTCATGCTTATTCCAAATAAAAAATTACAGGTTAATGCCTATAAGTAATTCTTATTCCGTAGAAAATGACCTTTAAAATAAGCCTAAGATTATTAAAAAGCGTTCATTATTTTAGAAGTTATTGAAATTTTTGTAAAACATTGAAAATGACGATTTTTAAGAATATCTTCTACAAATTTTGTCCAAATGACTTCTGTGAGGTCTTATTCTTTTCAAAATTTTATCGTCTTTCAAAATATAAACCAAAAAAATTTGAGTTTTCATAAATTTTATGTTAAAAAATTTTTTTCATTCTTTTAAAAATGGGTGGACTGACAATTTCGGACGGTACTGTAAGGTTGAATTTAATTGTAATAAAAAGTAATAAATTAATTGACCATACATTAAAGAATTAATAATTTGAAAATACTGATAAATATAATATGTGTTGCTATATTTATCCTCTACAACCGCACCCCAAGTAGCATGTAACTTTACCGTAATATTAAAATGTACACCCTAAGCTAATATTACCATGTAATGTCACTGTAACATAATTACTTGTAATATTATCTTGGGACGGATATTTTAATATTATGTACTGTAATGTCACTGTATTATAGCAGTATAATATTACTAACATTACATATGACATTACAGTAGTGTCACATGCTACTTGGGATTCGAAATGAGTTTAAATAAGCTTTGTTCAATATTTTGTAAATTTTACTTGTATTTTCGATTTACACTAGTAGCGTTAAATATTCAATAAAAATATTTTATTAAAAAAATATTAAGTACATATTTCTTTGTGATTAAAAAATTGGTTGATTCCTTTAAACGAAATATATTAAAAATAATTTCAATTGATTTTTTAATTTTTTTGAACCTATATTTTTAAAGGAAGGGCGTGACGTTAGAAAATCTGAGAAATGTTTTCCCAGAAAGGTGTTAAATAAAGTTAAATGAAGTAATTAAAATATTTTTTCCAAAAATAAATTATTTACCTTGACCCAGTTGATGTTAACAAATAATGCAAAGTAAACTAGTATGATGATTATTGTGAATATTAAGACTAGTAAGGCAGTAAGGGTGTTTTGAATCCACCATTCCAACATCTTAGTTGATTCCTCTTCTTTATTTAATCCTTAACTCACTGTGATTTCTTGATCACAGTTTCTTTTCTTGATAATCCAATATCGTTAGTATTGAAATTGAAATTGGAGTTTAAATATAAAATCATGTATAAACTGAATTTAAAAGGTATTCCTTCACATATCTGAAATTGAGAATTTTTTAAAAAATATATTGTCTATAATATGGGGAAAATTTTCAAAAAATTATCGTGCCCTTTCTTTCATTTTAAGATTTCTTGTTTTCTTTGAGAATTCAATAAGGAAGTCAAAATTTTATTAATTAAAAACAATTTCGATAAGTGATGCAATATAAATTTACAAAAAATTTTGATCTCTAGTTTTGTTTGAACTGCAGCTCCTTCGGAAGCTTGACCGCTTTATATACTGACTACGTGGTCCAGCTTGAGGACCCATAAAAATACATATATTCCTCTATCAGGTCAACACACGCATCAGTTGCTGTAGATAAGCTTCGATACGTTGTGTCGTCAATTTCGACATGTGAATATATCAGTGGGAGTAAATGTACTGTCGAGTACATCTGTACTTATAGAGTACATTTGCACTTATAGAATCAAGTTAAATCGGACTTGATACTACTGATAATTGATCTTATCATTGATCTGCACTGGCTTCCTGCGATTCTATGTCTTTCCGTCTCTTCTCACTACATTGCTTCTGTCATTTCTCTTTCATATTTTCCCTTTATTTTCCGCAACTAAAGTAAAACTAAATTTCTTCTTTTTTAAGAACACAACTACATATAACTAATAGATATGGCATAGATTTACATCCTTATATAGCCATAAAGGCATAAAATCTTGGGTAATAGCACGTCCATTTATCTCTAATTCTATTTAGGTGATAACAAATGTCTATATTTTATTTGAAAAACCATTTAATTAAATGAATGAAAAATTTATTTGACTCAAAAAATCGATTTCTTAACGCCTAACAAATAAATAAATGTATACTTACTTCACACAAATCATTTTCATTTCAATAAAATAAAAATTATTTAATTATCTCAAAAATTATTTGCTGCAAGAAAATCTTATTTATTTGATAATATTCAAATGATAAACCATTATTCGACTCTAATTCTTTCAGCGGTTTACAAACAAAAATTTTTATATTTTTTTAAATGAAAGCTTTTTTTATTAATTTTATTTTCATTTTAAACTACATATTTTTACCCGAAAAAAGTGTAAAGAGAAAATTGTTTAATTACTTATTCATAACCATAGAACAGAACTATATGTTATACAGAGTACGCTGAAGTATAATACAATATTTTCGACAGTAACCAATTTCTACTTTACACCCACTTAATTTAAAAATCTAGAAAAATTATATCTTAAAGTAGACACTTTTAGAGATATTTTTCTCACATTTCAAAAATGGTACCTCTGGAATAACCTTTTTAAAAAAATTTCAAAAAAAAAAATTTCCGGGTTTTTTGGGCAAAATTTTCTTTATTTTTTTTATAATTTTTTTTATAATTTATCTTACCATTGTGAAAATTGAGTTTTATGGAATGGTTTAAAAACACTATTTTTATTTCTTAAGCCGAAGTACGTAGATGCTAGAATGACGTTAAGCTCTCAAGTTTTCAATTTTTTTCAATATGTTCCACCAAATTTAAAAATCTAGAAAAATTAAATGTTAAAGTAGAAACTTTTAGAGATATTTTTGTCACATTTCAAAAATGGTGCCTCTCCAATAACCCTTTTAAAAAGAATTTTCAAAATTTCAAAAAAAAATTTGAGTATTTTTTTTATAATTTGTCTTTTAATTCTACAAAAAAACATATTTTTGTCATTAAAATTGGTTAAGTCAGAGATACGTAGATACATATTCTAAAAAATTTTTCCCATTACAAGTATGTTCAGAAAAAATTCACAAAGTAGCCGGTGTTAGCAAAATTGGTCAAATTGACCCCCCTCTGCCCCCTCCAGATTTTTGAAAAAATAAAAAATATTTTTTGGGGCACATTTCTACTTGATAGAACAACAAATTCCCTGAGTTTCAATTTTTTTCAAGAAGTTGAAATTTCAACTTAGGACATTTCACGTAAAATGCCTCATATATACTATACCTACATTCCTTTCATATTAGTTTATCATTATTTTTTAATAAACCTTAATAAGAAGTGTGTTAAAGTACTTCCTGCAGTCGAATTGATATCAGGCTAGTAAAACTTATTGTTTGTCGAATCTGCTATTGGAAATTTAAACAAGTTGTATTTAAAATTTTAATTTTCTGAATTCAATGAATTTAAAATAAATCGAATAATTTCGACATAAATCTTAGAATTTAATCTTTGTTTAAGCAAACAAATTCAATATTATTTAAATTACCTAATATTTGAACGGAAACTAACGAGAATGATGTCAGAAAATGTAGAAATATTTTTTATTTTTTTCTTCCCAAAGAAGTTAATTTAATTTCGATAATATTTGTAAATATGCACAGAGTTAATATCTTTAATTTATTAATTACCTATAAAATAGTTTTAAAATGATTCTTGAGACGGATAATTTCAATTCAAAAACAAGTTCAAAAATATTTGTCGATTGATGAATTATATAAATTATTAAAAATATATTGTTCCTTATTTTTATTATTGAAGTAACATAATTGAAAGTGAATTTCATATTTAATTTTAAGTTAGAAAAATGACCTGGGAAATCCAATTTGGCATATGAATCAATGAATATTAAAGAATATAATTAGATATATTTTGAAAGTAAATTTGATAATACCGTAAATTAATTGAACTCTATTCAATAATTTTAAGCGATTGGAATTTAAAGAGAATTTAATATAAATTAATGGAGACCACAATCGTATCATATTAGAGATTACTAATTTAGTTAATCACTTACTAAAACAATGAAAACACAAAGAGATATTTTTCTATATTTTTATAGTAGCCACTTTTACTATTAAATTAAAAAAATAAACTCATCAATCGTCAGGTAAATTGTGATCTCTCTTATATGTATGTATATTTTAATGTGCTGATTACGAAAATAATATTAAAAGTGGCTCAATTTTGATACCGATCCCAGAAAAGAATCTTACAGTTTAATACAAATAGTAAAATAATATGATTAAATAATAAATAGAAATATTAGAAATGTAATAAATTTTATAATTATTAGTTTAAAATTAGAAAATAAAAAGTAATAGAATGAAATAATTCGGAATCATGATTTGGACAAGTAAACTAGAGTCCATTAGTTACACATTTTAAGTGAACAGCTCTATCGCATCAATTGCGATGAATAGAATTATTTTTATTATAAATTACTACACTGAGAAAAATAAACATAACAGGAATCACTCCTGTCGAGACATAAATGTCAACTCGCCGAATTAAAAAAATCAGTGTACATACATATAATAACCATTAAAAACAGTTAACCTTAAATCATCTAAACAAAAATTATTGGCATGTGATAAAAATGCCGAAATTTATTACAATAAATGGATATAAGCATTTTAAAATATAAAATAATAAATAAAATATTATTTTAAAGTTCATCAGTAAAGTAACCTAATTTTACGATTTTTATTAACAGATAATGGTGAAATATAGGATTATAAAATTAAGTAAAAACTTATGGAATATTAAGAATTTGTGATGAACTTTCAGTTTTTATTTAGTTTTCTTTCATTGTCTCGTCAAATAAAAAATATATGTAAAATAAAATTTTCACTTTGTGTTAGATTTTCTCAAGTGGACCTTAAATTTTAAAAAGTTGAAATTTATCAGTGTAAATGTGCAAAAAGATAGTTCTATTAGAGAATATTTCTCGTTTCGATAAAAACATATTTTAACTTATTTTTTTTGAATTCTATAATTTTATGTATTTACTTGTAAACTTTCGTACCTATTAAAAATAAAAAGTAGTAATACTATAATTATATTTTACTACTAAACAGACTAAAAATTTTTTATGAGTGTTTTAAGGCAATTTCCTGGGTAAGCATAATGTGGTAAAATTTTGTTCAAAATTACGTAAAGGTAAAAAAAATTTTACTCAAACTAAAAGAACTTTTTTAAATTATATATAATACAAAAAAATTTTGTAAAACTTGTTTTTCTCGAAGAAAGAAATATTCAACTGAAAACAATTAAATAATAAACTTAAAATAGATTACATAAATAAATATAAATAAAATAATATATTACTAATTTTATTATAAACAAGTATTCCCATTGAATTTTAGTTCAAAACGTAAAAACCAAATTTTAAAAAAATTATGAAAGAAAACCTTTAAAAATAAAAAAGTTAAAGCGTGCATAGCGGGAGACACGACATTCATCAGACGCGGGAGCCCACATCATGGAGCTTGCGCGCGTTTACAAAAAAATTCATAATTAATAAAATATTTGCTTTAAACAATTTTTTCTTTTTGATATGCAATCCTTAAGGAGGAACTGGACGGTGAATCGGGCAAAAAGTTTATGACATTTAGGGAAAATATATATTTCTAAAAGTATTCAATATAGGAATGTCTAAATGTTGCGAATGAATAAAATAGTAATTAAATATGTCTAAAAAATATCAATTACATAATAATTAAAATGTTTTTTTAAAGAAATTAATATTTCTTAACAATGCTAAATGAAATTTTTGGTCGAGACAGAGCCGAACGACTACTTAACTGCATTCGGCTAGACTCGATTTATCCTCGGGTCGCAAGCAGCAAGCAGCCGTCCCCTTACCACATGACGTCACTGTCAGTTAGGTAAGTTTTTACATCAAATCAGAGGGCCGAGGTCGCGTACCTTTTTGTTGAGCACTACGCAAAGGACTTTACCTAACTTTCGCTAATTCGGAAAAACACGCAAGTGCATTTTTCTATATAATTTGTTTAAATAATTAATTTTTTATTTCATAATTAAATAGAGCACCATCATTATACCCAGTATGTGAAGTTAAATTGAACAGTTTTTTAATTTTTATTAGGGTTCTGAAAGCAAACAGTTTTTTCTTATTTTCTCGTTTCGATATGAATGTCAGTTAAGGGGAGGGTATAGTTAATTCTGTGAAAAAATGGCATGTTTTCGTGATTTTTTTTGGCGCTCTGGTTAGAGCCAGTGTATTGGACAAATTTTACATTTATTGTACATTATTTAAAGATAATTTAGTCAAAATTTAAAAGATATACGATGAGAAGGAAGTGTTTGACACGCGATTTCCGAAGACGCCTTCAAAAAAAACCATTTTGCGGTGTTCACTGTAAGTTGAAGCTG